TTCAGCCGCTCCGCCGGTCTCAGCACCAACATTTGCCTTCGGCTTGTTCTTCAGGATGCTCTTCCACTCCAACGCAACTGCACCGAGGACGGCCAGAGACGATATGATCAATCCGACCTGGAACACCTTCCGCAGCGCCTCATTGTAGGCTGTGAGGACCGTGTCATGTTCACTCGCAGGTAGCGCGCTCAGTAGTGACGTGGCGCCCCCCGACGTGATCAGACTCGGGTCAAACCCAGGGACCCCGGAAAGCCTTTGCACAAGCTGATTGCCTAGTACGTTCTCCCCAACCGAGACAAACACCGCTGCACCGAGCAGCTGACCAAACAACATCAGCGCCAACCCGATGGGCACATCCTTCTTCGGCAGAACGGTCTGGGCAGCGAGGTTTGGGGTTTGGAAACACAGGCCCAAGCCGATTCCGTACAGGATTTGATAACCGATCCACTTCCCTTCGCCGGTGTCGACCTGGAAAGTCGTGAGGAGCCCGGCCCCGACGGACATGATGCAGGATCCTACGATCGAGAACGGCGTGTAGTATCCGATCTTCGGAGTGATGATTCCACCGCCCATTGACCCTGCGACCATGGATAGCATCAGAGGCAGGAGCCGGATGCCTGATTGCGCGGCAGAGACACCTGTGATGGATTGAAACCAGATCGGGAGGAAGTACACTGTGATAACCAAGGTCAGTCATCCGGTGATCAATCATGGCTGACTATGTGGTCTTCTTACCAAATATATAATTCCCAGAGCTGATGCAGAGACTTTGCCAGAAGGCAGCAACGACGCTCCGCTGCTTGAAAATGCGCGGAGGGAGCGTGGCTGTCGTCGGAAGCCATATCTGGACTGCAACGAAACCAACAAGCAATACACTCATCAGAGTCAACAATGCGATGATCCGCCCATTGCTCCACTGGAGACTGTCAGTGCACCGGAAAGTCAAAATGACGCTGCGGGGAACTCACCGCATACGTCTGGCCACCCCACTGAAGTGCCAACAGAAGACAGACCACACCCGGGACCAGGAATGCCGTGCCCGGGGCATCCAGTTGCGACAGCTTCTTCATCCAGGGGAGCTTGGTTGTATCTCGGTCGGGGACCTGGAGACAGAAGGCCATGACGACCATCGCCACGCCCCCGAGGGGCAGGTTGATGTAAAAGCACCACCTCCACGTTACATTGGAGGTAAAGGCACCACCAATTAAGGGGCCCACGACCGAAGCCAGGCCAAAGAGGGCGCCGAAGAGGCCTTGGATTTGGGGACGCTTGTGCAGAGGAACTGCGTGGGCAATGCATACAATCTAGGGACCGCCGTCAGCATTGGAGGCTGATCAGGGAGGGAATCGGGGTACACTTACCGTTCCCGCAAAGATGCCAGCGGCGCCAACCCCGGCGATTGCTCTTCCCACGATGAAGGCTACTGAGTTCGGAGCCGCGCCACAGATGGCAGAGGCAGCCTCGAATAGTAGGGTACTTGTAAGCATGACGCCTCTCACCGAGTAGTACGTGTAGAGTTTCCCAAACAACAGCTGGAAGGCGCAACATGTCAACAAATATGCGCTTCCGTACCAGCCGACGTCGGCGAGGGAGTTGAATTCATCCGTGATTTGCGGGATAGCCTAGCCAGAATCAGTCAGCACATTGACTCGCCGCGCGACCACAAGAATGCGAGCTCTGTTCCATGGAGTGTCCTCATACCGTGGAGATGATGGTTCTGTCCAGAGCGACCAGGAACATGGTTCCAAAGACCGAGACCAGCAGGAGGACCGTCCTCAGTGTCGACGGCTTCTGCTGGGGGTCGTCGGGTTTGCTTGCATCAGGTTTGCTTGCAACATCGGGAGAGGTCTCGCCGGCGTGTGTCGTAGCCACGTCGGATGAATCTCCCGCAGCCGATTTGGCGCCTTTGGGAGTCGTCGGGCGTGAAGACACCATGGTGACCGTGAAACCTGTTGCTCCCCCTTGGATCGATTGGTCGCAAGTGGACTCGAAGCGGGAGGGAACTGTTGATGTGTTGATGTGTTGATGAATATGGACAGCTTGTGGTGGACGATGAGAACGGAACGATGTCTGTCTGAAGAACCAGCGAGGTGAAAGGAACAGGTCTGACTTTTAAGAGCAAAGGAAGAACGTGTGCCATGATATTGAAATTGTTTTGTCGGGCTCTAGGAAAGCACGAGGTTATACTGCGTCCAGAATAAAGAACTGCTGGTCGGGCGTTACTAAAGTCCGATCTGGCTGGGCTCATAGTATGTCCTGAAGAAAGGTCTGTGTTCGGGACGTAGAACAGTCCGAGCGTGGCAGGGGGTCCCCCTGCTGGGGAGCTTCAAAAGCCCGAGACGGCCCCCAACTGCCCGAGAGCTGCGTCCTGCACCTCTCCCTCTCCATCTCCATCTCTCCTGAAGACAACGGGTTTATCACTCCTGCCATGTTGACGGCGGTTCCCACCCCAGACCAGTCAGCCACTGCGAAGCCGCAGCGCGTGCTGGCCTGTGTGCTGTGTAAGCAGCGCAAAATCAAGTGCGATCGCAAATCCCCCTGCGCCAACTGCGTCCGGGCCGGCGCCCAGTGCGTGGCAGCTACGCTCGCCCGCCAACGGCGCCGCAGGTTTCCCGAGCGAGAGCTGTTGGAGCGCCTTCGCCACTACGAGGGCCTGCTTCGCCAGAACAACATCAAGTTCGAGCCTCTGCACACCCCGGCCGCAGAGCACGCCTCTCCCAGCGAGGACGGCACTCTCGACGATGCACATGCAGAAGGACCGGTTTCAGGGACAGAGGGCCGGTCAAGGGAGAAGACGGCGGTGAAGTCGAAAACAGTGTAAGTTGCGCTTTCTCGAACCACCAGCGCCTGACAAAACTCATGACGGTTTACCACCTTCAAGCGAGCTACAAATTCACCTACAACATAGGGATTTCTAATGAAAAATTACCCATATTATTCTTATGCGGCTCCTTATCTATATGAACTGGTAATTGGCTGTACCAAATAGTCAATGGGTTAACATCTGTGGTCAAGCTTTCTCCTGAACCGTCATGAGTTTTGTTCGACACTGGTGAACACAGACCGCGAGACGACTAATACTCTCTCCTAGGAATCTCTGGCGCGCCATGAGTCAAAAGGTACGGTCAAGTGTGCGAGTGAGTTCAGGCTCCCACTGACAATTGAGGGAAAGACCGTGGATGTCGAGGACGATGATGACGACGATGAGAACGATAGCGGTTTTCTGCACGATAACGATGATGTGCGTCCGGCGGTGATCAAGAAGGCGTGGGACCAGGTGTACCGAAGCGAAAGCAACGACCACCTGCTGTTTGGCTCACCCAAGACAGACGTCGATCTCTCGACCTTGCACCCGAACCAGGTCCAAATCTTCAGGCTCTGGCAGATTTACCTGGACAACGTCAACCCGCTGCTCAAAGTCACCCACACCCCCACCCTGCAGGCACGCATCATCGACGCCGCCGGCAATATGGCAACCATCAGTCCCACATTGGAAGCGCTGATGTTCAGTATCTATTGCGTCTCCGTTCTAAGTCTCACCAAAGACGAATGCCGTACCGTGTTGGGGTCGCCAAGAGAAGATCTTCTGAAAAGCTATCAGTTCGGATGTCAGCAAGCGCTACTAAACTGTGGGGTTCTACGGTCCGCGGACCGCGACTGCTTGACAGCATTGTATCTCTACCTGGTAAGCCCGTCAGGCTGCCATCGGGCATCTAGTCCGTTGACGCTTCTAGGTCTCGGTCAGTCCCGATACAGACCCCCGGTCTCTATCCTCAATGCTGGGCGTGGCCATCCGCATCGCACAACGCATGGGGATTCACAACGAGTCGACCAATGCCAGATGCACCGCGCTCGAGGGTGAGTTGCGCCGAAGGCTGTGGTGGTCGCTGATTGTTTTCGACAATCGCATTTGCGAGATATGCGATCACAAGACCACCATGTTAGATCCCACCTGGGACTGCAGGACGCCTCTCAACGTGAATGATTTTGAGATCCAGCCAGAGATGAAGACTCCGCCCGCAATTCACGAGAAACCCACCGAGGCGCTTTTCGTCGTCGTGCGCAGCGAGCTGGGCGAGTTCGTCCGCCACAGCGCCTTCCACCTCGACTTTTCCAATCCGTCGTTGAAGGCGATTGCGAACGAGACTCGGCACGGCCCCGTTCGAGAAGGCGACGAGTTGATCGCCCTAGAAAAGACTATGGAGGACAAATATCTCCGATTCTGCAATACAGAGAACCCGCTTCACTTTATGACAATCTGGACGACGCGAGGGTACCTGGCGAAACTCCGTCTCCTGGAACACTATTCGAGACACTCCAAGTTATCCGTGCAGCAGACGGATCCGCAGCGCAACGCTGCCATTTCCCATGCGCTGAGGATGCTCATGTGCGATACGAAGCTCATGACTTCACCTCTCACCAAAGGATACCTTTGGCTGGTTCACTTGCACTTCCCATTTCCCGCGTACATTCACATTCTTCAAGATCTGAAAAAGCGGCCTACTGAGGACCACGCTGAAAAGGCTTGGGAGGTCATGAGCGACAACTACGAGGCTCGCATGATGAATACGAAACAAGCAGATAGGCCTTTTTTCATTGTCTTCGCTCGAATTGTCCTTCAGGCCTGGGAGGCGCGTGAAGCATTATTCAGACAACAAGACAAGCCGGTGGAGCTACCACGGATTGTGTCGGACATTAGAAATAAAGTAATGCAGATGACGTCAAATTTTTCACCAAACAGTAATATAGAGCAGCCCAGCGGTGCTGCGGGTATCAACATGGACGAAATTCCAATGCCCATGCCCATGGAATTTGGTGGCCATGGCCTGTCGTACGGCACGGGAGGACAGGGCTCCACCGGTCCTGGGCCCGGGTGCTACCCTGACATACCCGGACAGGCTACGATGGACGTCGACATGAACCAGTTTGATTGGACCACGATCGACTGGAATTTGATGCATGCACGAGGCTGGTGAGGCTGCTATGTTCACGGGCGCACGGCTGCCTCACCCGCGTGCGATCGCCACTATTCTCTGATAGCCAGTTTTGGCAGCAAACTGGGCTCGAGACAGCAACGAATCATCCACATCCAGCTCATTGCTGACGAAGCGGTCGTACGATGATTCAGGACGTATGGGAATCATACCGTGTTGGTGGGGACATCCTGGAAGCCGCCAGAGGACAGCACACTCTCTCACTGTGGGGAATTGGACAGGTTCATTGATATAAAGTAGGCTGCTAGAGGGGAAAAGTTTCGGTCGTTTCAAAAATTCAAGAGCTGGAGGAGCGCTCCTGCTACGACTCTCATAATGGGCAGGGTTTAGCTCTTCCCTAGCGTGTAGTTGTAATTGAGCACAGGTCTCTCCACTTTTCATTCACAGTTTGTTTAGCTAGCATACTTAAAAGAATAAATACTAGTCCTTTGCCCAAATCAGCCATGACCATTGACACCTAATAGCCTTTGCAGCTCGCTCCGCCCCTGCAAGGTCACCTTGCGGATAATGCAAGGCGACTTCCAATATCCTGCGTTAATGCATATTTAGCTAAGGTTCAAGCAAGGGTGAAACAGGAGTACGGTAATACTTTGGAAAAATCTACTGTATACCGTCGCTATATGCACGGTGTGATGACTTGCCTGCAGTAAAGAATGAAATTGCTAGGCGTGTATAAAGTATCTAGGTAGGAATCCATTGAGTGATACGACGCCGGGCTGCGCCGTAGGTGACCTGCATATATATTCCCACGGAGATGCATCACCCAGGTGGGCTAACTGTCATGTTTAACGCAATCACTGGACGCTGCTCCGAATCGATCCAAAAGTAAAGCTTCCGTGTAGGCTAAAGCTTAATCTTGGTCAGCGTTAGGCTTCCTGAGGAGCACTTGCTGGATGCTTCTAGTCCGGCCTCTTATTGCTGAAGAGCTATATCCACGAACGCGAACAGCGGTAGCTAGACAAGAATTGTGCTGCCACGATGGTGAGAACAATATTAGAAAACGTTGGCTAATCCTACTCAGTATTCGGAGAGGCTAGTGCTACCACGATATTTAGAACCACAATAAAACATGTTGATGAGGCGCAGGCTCATCGGCAAGCCTCTACTCATCACTCAGCGTGCGTGAGGGTGAATTATCTGCCTCCTTCGTTCGAAGCAGCAAGCTCTCTATCTCCCAGACTAATACCCAGCCGTTATCCTATCAAGCTACATCTCAAGACTACATTCAGTCCCAACCAAGCACCGAATTCCCATGGGATCAAGCTTCATTCCAACAATACAATCAAACAGCCAACGCAAAATTCAGGCTACCAACCCTCAAGCATTACTGCTCCTAATCCTGAGTTGGATACGATGGGTCGTTTGTGGTCAGTCGGCGGGAATGGCAGTGAGTCTTCTTCTGCCTGGTTTGTTTTTTGGCTTTTACGTGGTTACTCGCAATTTTACACTCTCTTTTCGATAGTCGAAACCGGTAGATAGAATTGTCGCTCCACTCGATGCAAGAATGAGACACCGTACATTTGATACGACGCGTCTTGCGTCGCTCGAGGTGGACACAGGCACCATCCTGGACATGCTGGAGGAAGTGCGTGCGTCGGGGTATTTTCTAGGTTTATTTACCGACGGCACTAGCATTAGATCCGACTAGACGTTATTTATTATCGTAATGTCCTAAAAACCGAAACCCCGACCTTCGGATTCCGGGCTGCATTTTCCTTTGATCTTCCCGGTGCACATCATCCATTACGACGAAAACTGGCCCATCTTCTCGCTGACTCGGAAGGTCGGCTGGCGATGCCTAAAATCCCCCGGTTTGCGCTATGGACGCCAAACCAATGTTTCTCTGACTCTCTGAGTACATGTACCCTTGGTTTGATGCAATAATCATTCCCTAGGGGAGAAACATAGGTTTACCATTCGCGCTGAACTTAACTCGCCATGGCAAAAGATCCAACTTTCGAAGGTACGTTGGTAGTCGCATCCATCATATCATTTTGGTCCTGACGACATGATACAGAGGTCACGGCCTGTCAAAGGGCCCTGTTCGAATGGGCAGACAGTTATGACACGAAAGTGAGTTTATCAATCAATCACTCACAATTCGTCTCTCTGACTCTTTTCAGGATTGGGAGCGTCTCAAGAAATGCGTCGCACCCACCCTTAGAGTATGTCAATCACCAATCGATCCATGAGGATCTTTCGCTCATTCAATATCCCACAGATTGATTACCGTTCCTTCTTGGATAAGCTGTGGGAAGCCATGCCCAGTGATGAGTTCATCATGATGGCCTCTGACCCGCGGTTTTTGGGCAACCCTCTGCTGAAGACGCAGCACTTTATCGGCCTCAGCACGTGGCAAAAGGTCAGCGACGACGAGATCGTGGGGACGCATCAGCTGCGGGTGCCGCATCAGAAATACACCGACAGCAGCATGCGAGAGGTCGCGGTCAAGGGCCACGCCCACGGCACCGCCACCATGTGGTACAAGCGGGTGGAGCACGAGTGGAAGTTTGCCGGAGTGTGTCCGCAGATCCGATGGTGTGAATATGATTATGACAAGGTGTTTGCAGAGGGTAAGGATCATTTTGGAGAGAATGGAGAGAATGGCGCAGATCATAATGCTGCGTGATAGCCAGTAATACATATTACTCTACTTCCACTTTTGTAGAATTCTACATCTCATCCTATCCACATCACCGTCGATTTGCTCCATTGATTTATGGTGAAGATAGTGTTAGTCTACTCGCGTTAAAGGATTTCGTCGAAGAGGTCTAGTGGAGATAGCGGGATGCTCGCTTGGCTAACCAACAGCCATTGATCTGGGCGAGCGTCGGATTATTTGTTCGTGAACGACGCTTTATCATAATAAGAGTAACATCTAGTTCAGTCTAGATGGAGAGAAAAGAGCATAAAGATTTATAGGTCAGACATGAAGCCTAATAGATTACTGTAGAGAGCAATTTGGAAAGATGGTCGAGGACTATTTAGATGGTTGGTCCATGAGAAATCAGAGAGAGCTTGTATCAAACAGCATTCTTTCATAGATAAATATCAGGATCTGTCGCAAATATATCATTCAACTAAAAAAGGTGTGCTAATACTACTTCTTATCAAAGTAGGCTATAAATAGTAATATATCGCAAGTGGTATATGGTATCCATTCTCGTGATAAGATCAATTTCGTCTATGAATAGCGCAGCAGAAAAAAGAAACACAAAGGCTCCATCATAACTGTCTTCTAGCTGTAGTACTCCTCCAACCACGCCCTCAATGCCCCAATCGTGGGATACTCGAGGAATAGACTGCCTCCGACGGCGATGCCGAGATCCTCGCGGAATTTCTCGGCAATGACCAGACTCATCAGACTGTCGACGCCGAGATTGGCAAACGCCGCGTCGTCGGTCAGATCCGACACGTCCATTCCGGCTTCTTTGGCGATCAGCACGAGGGCTTTGCGCGCTGTGCTGTCCGAATCCACCGCCGCTGGTGCTGGAGGAGGAGCGACTTTTGCCACGGCTGGTGGAGCCGGCGGAGTCGCAGCTGATGTGGCCTTCTGCGGCGCTACCTTGACGGTTGGAGCTGCTGCTGTTGCTGGTGTAGGTTCTGTTGCGTAAGATTTCGCTGCCGCCGAGTCCGGCGCAGAGAAGAACCGGTTCAAAAGAATGCGTGGATACCGGCGGAATTGGATGCCACCCACCATTCCCATAATGTCACCATCCTGAAGGATGTAGACGTCGCCCAAGTACACCGACGGATCCTCGCTGGTCGGGATCATCTTGACATACGACCGGTATTTCTGGCCAGCGACGAGCGGGCGGGCGAACCGCATGCTGTTCCATCCCGGCGTCACACAAAAGGTGTTGGCCGTGTCGCTGGCGTCCGAGACGTTCATGACAAAGCCCGCGAGATGCGCCACGCTGTCGATGAAATACGGCGGCACAGTGTAGTTACCACCGCAGTGGACCTGCTTGAGCGTGACATCGGCAAATGCCTCGAACTCGTTCATGACAACGGCCTGCATGCCGCGGTACTTGTCGGCGTAGTCGACCAGGTTTTGTGCAAACAGAGTGTATGCCATGCTGTGCGAGAAGCGGTTGGCAACCCCTTCCGCCGCAAGGCGCTCGAGCGCCTCGATGCGGCCCTGGACAAGGTGTACCAGCGGACTCCACGACGACAGCCACTCCTTTGCATTGCCGTAGAAGATGCGGCAAGTGGCAAATGGATCCGAAGCACTTCCGTCGCCGTGGACATTCTGCCAAACGACGTCGGCCACGGCGGTGTTGATATCGGCAGTGGTCGCGGTGACACGGATGAGTTGTGGCGTCTTGGTGTTGCTCTGGGCCACGAGGCCTTTGGTGACCTCCAAATTGGCAATGTTGATATCAACAGTCTTGGCATTGGGTACCAGTTGTTTGTAGAGGTATTCTCCCAGTGTGTAAGCAATATCGGCGTGGATCGACTATGCGCAAGCGTCAGTATTGATCTCCGTCAATCAAAAAGAAAAGTTCACTTACCGAAGTCACCACACCGCATCCATTCATTTTATGTCCGTGTGCAGCAGCGAAAAATTCAGGCTGCATCAAGTCGGACTGCATGACAACCTTGCCGGACGATCCTTCAAATGTCTCCTCGATGATCTGCTGAACGGTAGCAGTCCTGAGGCTTGATGCTGGAGCGTTCGAAATGCAGGCCTGTCCTCGGGTAAGGCCCTTTTCGGCATCGTAGAAAGTGTTGCCCTTGGTGAGGGCCCAATCTCCGTTGTACTGGATCCAGTATTTCTTGTCGTTCCAGCTATAAGTGGGCAGATCCAAGAGGCGAAGCGAGGCTTCGAATGGCCGGTGAAATTCGTCCCAGCGGACTTGCACGCCAGCGCAGTGCAGTTGCCCCAAGCTCTGAGCGAGGGTGGTCCAGTTGTCTTCGCCGCGGCGGAACGAGCCCACGGCGATGGGAGCTGGATCGATGGTCGCTTTAATAAAGGCAGTACAGACGGGATGCGGGCCGACTTCGATCCACACAGTGTCCTTGTCGACAATCGACGTGGCCTGCGCGCTCTCCATGGCAGAGAGGAAGTCAACCGTTTGGCGAGTCGCTCGTCTCACGTACTCGGCGTTCAAGGACTTTTCGTCAAAGACGACCTTGCCCAACAGAGGAGACACGACCGGCAGCGTTGGCGCGCGGAAGAGAACACCCTTTCTTGCCGTCTCTTCGAATGCATCCAGGATTGGATCCATCTGGGCGGAGTGGAAGGCAAAGGGGACGTCGAGGAAGATGCACCGATGCCCTCTTTCCTTCAGAAGGACCGCCAAAGCCTCCATCTGCTCCGTCGTTCCGCTGACCACAGTCTCCTTGGGCCCATTGACGCAAGCGAGGTCATATGGCATGTTATTTGCCGCGCTTTCAATGTCCGCTCGAGAGGACTTGACGGCCATCATCTTGTGGCTTCCAACGGTGCACAGAGACTCGAGCATCCGAGCCCGCGAGCCGACGAGGAAGATCGCATCGCTTGCCGAAAGCACACCGGCAACACAGAAGGCCGCATACTCGCCCAGACTGTGTCCCATGACAACCTCAGGCTTGACACCCAGTGTTTCCCAGTACTTGGCCAATGCAATTTGGATACAGGTATGGGCGACTTGGGTGATGACCGGCGAAAAGGCGTGGTCTTTAGGGAAGCTACCATCGACGGCTGGTATAAAAGATGGGAAACCATGTCGCTGGGCCAGACGATCCAGGTGTTCGATCTGAGCACGGAAAAAGGGTGAATGATGGTAGAGCTGCAAGTTCATCGACTTGTCGGCGGCACCTTGCCCAGTGAAGACGAAGGCGACCGGCGGCGCACCCGTGGCAGGAATTGGTTTCTGAGACTCCACACTATCCAACTTGGAAGTGAGCTGCTGCTTCACGCCGTTGATGTCTGCAGCATGGATCGCCAAGCGATGGTTGTGGTGGTAACGTCTCGCCGTCAGGGAGTACGCCAGGTCGGCCAGAGAGACATCTTCATTCTTCTCCAAGTAGGCGAGTAATCGCTGGATGTTGCCTT